AAGGTAAAACCTTTTTAGAGAGCAGAAATTTTAAAATTTTAACAGACTTTCAAGATCTTTTGTCAACCCCTATCACCGTAAAACCTGTTTCCTTAAACTGTCCTGTGTTGGTACTTCACCATGTTATTATACATATAAATACCCTTAATTGCTTCTATTCCCATCAAATTCCCAACAGACAAAACCAAACCACTAACTTAAGCAGCCGGAGCCAGAAACAAAGCAAATCATAGCTAGAAGACAACAGAGAGAGTAAAAGATAGAGCCATGGCAGAAGATTTCAAGCCCAGCAACTGGTGGAATAACTCCAGGAACAGCTTCTTCGACGGCGACAGCCAGGCTATCAATTCACCATCGGCACCTTCCCTGTCCTGCTCGACTTCAATAAGCGATGCCTTCAGCTGGTCTCCGGCAAATGAAATCTCTACATCCAAGCCAAGGCTCTGTGATAATAAAATAGAAGGCTTCTCCACTCTCTCCACTGATTGGAACCAAACTCTAATGTAAGAAACTCACTTAATTCAGTGGTTCATGAATAGAGAATTTGTCCTCTTTAATAAAAAATTGGTTCTTTGACTATTTCTACAGAAGAAGTAGCAGGAAAGACGAGAGCAGCTTCAAAGCTAGGCTTGAAGAGGATCTCAGCACAAGGCCTTTGTCCAGACAAGAAATCGGTGAATCATCAACGGCAATACCATTCAAAGACATGAATTTCTCTACTTCTTCTGCTTCGTCTTCCTATGTAAACTCTTCATCAATGTTTCAAGGCTTAGCCGAGCAGGATAAAGGGCTTCAGCAACCATTTTTAGATAACCAGCAAATGGCTGATCAGTACAGATCTCATCAGATGATGGCCTTCTATGGCTTTTCTAATGAGACGCTGGAGCCCTCATGGAATAAGCTACCTCAGTTATATAAAGATTATCCTCATAAGCAACAATCTGATATCACTGAGCTGCAATTCACAAATAATGCCTCTTATTGGAATGCTTCTGCTGGGTTTTATCCTTCTGCTCTTCCTTACTCGGGAATACAGATTTATGAGTCGAAGCCCAGCTACAGTATGACTGCGAAGGTAAACTGATATCTTCAGTAATTAATGCTACCCCAATACATTTTCAATATAAAAAATTTATGACTTCTCTGATATTTTTATTAATCTAAAACTTAACAGCAAGTCAACCCAAAAAAAAAAGGCATATTGAATAATAAATAAACTGTATATTTATTTATTTATGATGTTTTTATGTGCGTGCTAACTTAATGTCAAATCTTCTAATGAGTAAAATATTACTCTTCTACTCATGTTTTTGTTTTATTAATGACCATGTAGAAGAGGGCAATCATTAATTTTAGCCTATTTTGCTTGTCTTTTGGCTAAATAGTTCAATCAGAATAGTATTACTCCTCCGAGGAGAAAACAATGGGTCATCATCACATTCTATGTATACTTGAAAATTAAGCATAATATGAAATTCAACTTAAGTTCATTTGAGATAGTTTTTTTTATTGATTTTTAAATTAATTTTTTAGAATTTTTATATTAAAAAATTATTTTAAGA